CTAACCTCAATGGGACTAAAGAAGTCTTTGCAAATAAATGAGAAAACTCAGTAAAGGCCTGGGACAGCATGCCCCAAGTAATGCATACATAAATATGACCCTGTCTGGGACTGCAACTGAGTCCCGTCCACCATGGGGGCCTACCCAGACCAGGTCACGGACACTGCAATAACATGCTCGAAATTTTACACACCTTAACTTTTGGACCCCACCTCATGGTGCAGTGCATGGTTCAGATGTCTGCTTTGGGGGCTTGTGGTTTCTACCTCAGCCACTGCATTCCAGCTCTGCCTTGGGCAAGACTGTTAAAGAGCCACCTTGCCCACAGCTTCACCCTCACTACGGAATGAGAAGCTATGGTAAGTGCGGAGGCCATGGACACCATGAGGCAGCCACACCCCCATACTGCCTACATCCTGCCAAGTGCTGCTGCCACAATCCTACTTGATTTCCTCTTCCTCTTCATCCACCGTGGACGAAAAGTGAGCAAACTACAGCCAGCTCTCAGTAGCTACTCAAATGGAAGTCAAATCTTTGATGTTCCCATTTTACAGATGAGGAGACTGAGGCTCAGAAAGGTAAAGTCACCAGCCCACCATCAAACAGCAGATGGGCCCAGGAAGACCTCCTCCAGCACACCTGCCTCCTCTGCCAAGGTGTTGCCCACTGCTGCTCTCTGCACCTCGGCAAAGCATGTGCAGGGATGCCTCAGTTCTTTCCCTTCAGACTGGCTATGTCCCGCCGCAGGGCCTAGTCCTCAGCCAAGGAAGCCAGCTCAGCACTGTTGCTTTTCTAACGCAGCAATGATCAGCTGGCAATTGAAGGCCTCCTATTCAGAATGTAGGCTGGGGCTGCAGCTGTGATTTCTAGTGGAAAAGAACAGACTCACTGTTTCAGGCCTCCTGTAAAACATGGCTCGGCTACCCACGAGTTATGAATTGAAAGGGCCCCCCCATAGAAGGTATGTGAGTGTTCTACTCCCCAGTGCCTCAGAATGTGACCTTATTTGGAGACAGGGTCTTCACAGAGGTGATCAAGTTATAATGAGGTCATTAGGGTGAGCCCTAATCTAATCTGACAGATGTCCTTATCAAAAGAGGACATGTGGACACAGACACACAGAGGGAAGATGATGAGAAGACAGGGGGAAGACAGCCATCTATAAGCCAAGGAGAGAGGCCTGGAACACATCCTTCCCTCAGCCCTCAGAAGGAACCAACCCTGCCCACACCTCGATCTTGCACTTCTGGCCTCCAGAACTGGCAGACGGTCCGTTTCTGTTGCTTGAGCTGCCCAGTCTGTGGTGCCTTGTCACAGCAGCCCCAGCAAATACACCAGAGAAGCATAGAGAAGGCCCCTTGCACCCTTCATGACCAACAGTCATACAACAGTGCGGTCTTTTCCCAGCCATTAGTGCAGACAAAACCTCAGAGCTGCATTCACATCAGGCAGACTTTGCAGTAACATATATTTTCTATGTATCAAAGTAATACATGCAAATTATAGGCACTTACAAAATACATAAATACATAAGGGATACTTGTAATCACTCACATCCATCCAAATGGTAGCAGGATGTGCACCTATAGCTTTTACTTTTTTATTGGGCATCACACTTTGTACACAATTTTGTCTACTGGCTTTTTCACACCAACATGCTACAGAGGGTGTTCCATGTGACAGAGGTTCACAACACCAGCTGAGCAGGCCCACATGGTCCAGAAATGCAGCCTCTTATTTCACCATGGTCTTTGGCGGCTACAAGTGATGGTACAACGGGCTGAGGATGCCTCCCAAGTGCTTGTTCCAGCCTGCCAAACTGGCCCCCAGGAAGGGGCAATATCACAGGCCTGTCCCCTGCACCTTGCCAGCAGGCCACAGAAGTCATTTGTTGCTATCTCGACATCACTTTTTGTTCAGTTTGGGTCTGTCTGGTTTTAGTTACCAGCAAGGGAGAAATGCTTTCTTACTGTGCTTATTTTATTGGTCATCCAGATTTCTCTTAAGCATTGACCAGCAGGTAACAGAAGGGGCGCATGTGTGAGCAACCAGGAATGACACAGGTTTCGGCAGGATATGCTTCTAGCTGTCTGTCTCTACCACTCAAACCCAGGCTCATGAAGATCAAGGGGCCACAGCTAATAAGACAGGCAGGCTGCTTCCCTCATGGGAGGAATCCAACCACTTGTTCCGGAAGCCCAACCTAGGTAAAGCCTGAAAGGAAGAAAGCAGAATCCCTCACATGTGGGCGAATGGCCTGGTTTAAAATAAAGACCTTGGGGTCTTATGTACAGCTGGACCCTACAGAATGCTACAAGAAGGAAGGAGGCAGGTAGCAAGGACACCCAGACTCCAGAAAGGGAAGGTTCAAAAGAGCAGTGGTTCCCAGCCAATGCCTGGTCCCATGCCCAGACCCTGACTCAGCTGGTCCAGGGCCCAGGCAGGAACGTCTGTAAAGCTCCCGGCTGCTGCTGCTGTGTGGCCTGCATGGTGCTACTGCCAGGAGCCTGAGGAAAGTACCCCGGAAAGAGAACATCCGCTCTCTCACCACTCCTGAGTCTCACCTTCTTTCTTTCTTTCTTTTTTTTGTGAGGAAGATCGGCCCTGAGCTAACATCCATGCCAATCCTCCTCTTTCTGCTGAGGAAGACTGGCCCTAGGCTAACATCTGTGCCCATCTTCCTCCACTTTATGTGGGATGCCGCCACAGCATGGCCGGACAAGCAATGCATCGGTATGCGCCCGGGATCCGAAACCAGGCTGTCAGCAGCAGAGTGCGCACACTTAACCGCTATGCCATGGGGCCGGCCCCTTACATTCTTTCTTTCAATCTCCTTTCAGAAGAGGGAGCTAGTCAGAGACGGGCTCCTACATGCCTTTGTTCACCCTCTTAGAAGCACCAAGCCCATCCCTACACAGCCAGCAGCCGCTACGGAGGGTGCAGGTGGTCCAGTGGTTCTGTCCTACTACAACCTACCCCCTTCTCCTGCCCACATCTGCTGGCCCCGGCAGCAGTGTCCAGCTGGAGACAAGACGTCTGAAAGAACAACAGTCTCCATGCCTGCAAGGGCCTGTCCCACACCAAACTCCAGCTTTCCCCACCACAGAGCGCCATGTGCCTCTGCAGCTCAGCGGCCACCATCACCCCAGGGAACAAGCCCCTGACCAGAGCTGCACGTCCTAAAGACATCTGCCTTCGACTGCATTTGCCCTAATCTGTGGGCTCCAGAAGAGGCCCCCATGCTGGGTTAAATGGTGGCCCCAAAAGATATGCACACGTTCTAACTCCCAGGACTTGTGATTGTGACCTTATTTGGAAAAAGGGTCTTTGTGGATGTAACGAAGGTAAGAATCTCAAGATGAGCTCATCTTGGATGATACAGGTGGGCCCTAAATCCAATGACTGATGTCCTTACAAGAGACAGAAGAGAAGACAGTAAGGTGAAGAGAAACGGCCACGTAACCATGGAGGCAGAGACTGGAGTGCTGTGTCTACCAGCCAAGGAACACCAAGGACAACCACTGGAAGCTGGGAGAGAGGCCTGGAACAGATTCTCCCTCAGAGCCTCCAGAAAGAACCAACCCTGCCCACACCTTGATTTCAGACTTCTGGTCTCCAGAATCGTAAAAGAATGAATTCCTGTTGTTTTAAGCCACCAAGCTCGTGGCCATTTGTTTCAGCAGCCATAGGAAACTAATACACCCCCTAAAAACTGAAAGTGCTCTTGTAGAAAAATTGTAGGATTGGGATAGAAATGTAGCATCCATGAGCGGAGAGCCTGTCCGTGCCTTTTAACATTTTCCCGAAGTACAATCTGCAATTAGACACCTGGGCTTCAGAAAATGGAAAAGTCGCTCCCACCCTGCAGATGCCAAGAAAGCCCCCAGCCCAGGCTTGTTTTCAGTCCCAATACTAGACTTCCACCCTAATACTGCTCAGCTCTCTCACTGCCAAATAGCAGGAAGTCCCGTGACAAGACCCAGGGCTGGCTTCGCAATACCCCATTCCCAACCTGGGAAGCTGGGAGGAGGGCGGGGGGAAGGCCAGGCCACTGAGGAGTAACCAAGGGGCCTGTGTGGCCTTCTCCCTCCACTTCCAATGTCCTCTCCTCACTACAAGTGCACAGTGAATGCCCATGGCTCTGACATCCTAGGAAATATTCAGTGTCTTGCAGAACAACAAGGAAGAGTCCTCTGGTGTTTGTAATCTGCCAATTGCTGCCAAGTGGCTCCTGTTCGCAAGGCCAGGGCATCACAATCTTCTGGAATGTTATGAAGGATGGCCACCACCACTCACACTGGGCGATCACGTTCTTGCAGTGTTAGGAAGAGGAAAGGAAAAGTGTAAGTGCGGGAAGCAGCCCTCCATCACACCCCGGGGCAGTCTCAACAACTCCAACCCCAAAGCAGTTTCTCCCAAAGGTGGATAAATGTGATAACACAAAGGTAACAAACCGAGCAAGACCCAGACACCCAGCCCAAAGGCCCAGCAGGAAAAGATCATCGCAACTTCCATCACACGCAAGAGCAGATCCCACTCATGACCAAAGAGCTCCTGTAAACTGAGCAACAAAAGATGAACACTCCAATAGAAAAACGGGCAAAAAATACAAATAAGCTGTTCACACCAAAAGAACTGAAAGGATCCTTCAAGCTTTGAAAAGATGCTCAAGCTCAGTCTTCTAATAGAGAATCGCAGGGCTGGTGGATGGCAAGGCTATGGGGAGCAAGGTGGGCGGGAAACCACACATGGGGGGCAAGGGGGCCTGGCATCATCTACCCTGTTGGCAGATGCTCAATGGTGCTGTTTCTAAGAACCTAACCCAAAGATACACATGATCGATGCACAAGGATTTTCACGATAGCGTTATTAATGACAGTAAAAAGATTGGCAACAACCCACATGTCCATCAGTAACCAACTGGTTTAATCCACAGTGGTGCAGCCCCCACGTGGAAAACTACGCAGCCCATGAGAGCGCAGGCGCCGCAGTGGGGTGGGAGGAGGGGCCCCTACACATCTCGCCGGGGAGGCAGTTCTCTCTGAGAGCCCCGGCCTTGATTCTTGACTTCCCCAGTGGAGGTGGAAGAAAAGGGAGCCCCAGGGACAAGAGGTTCAAGGAGACAGAACAAACAAAAAGAGCAAAGCGTCAGGCCTAGCTGGGGCTCCACGTACCCTAAAAGAGGTGAACCAACAGACAGGGGAGCTGAAGCATAGGGCCCAGCAGCTAGTTTTTGGGGCTCAAAGAAGTGGCCTGCTCTTTGTCACTTAGCCCACTATTCAGTACTCGGTGGGTGGGAAATGAAAGCACAGATGGCACTGTCCCGGGCTGGTCACCGGCAGGCGGCCCTACTCAATGCACTCCATGACGTGTATCTGCAGAGTGTCCATGTCAGGAGCCTGGTACTGGCACTTGGGGCAACAGAAGTCGGGCGGCTCCTCAGGGGGGCTTCTCCTCTGGCTGGGCAGGGCCAGGTGAAAGGAGTGGTGAGCTGGGGAAAGAGCGCAGGCACAGAAAGAAAGTCCTGACACTGGAGGCAACTACCAGGCTCCCTGCCACGAGCTCCTCCCCTTTCCCCACACCCCTTACCGATGGGGAGGGGTGGTGAGTGCAAGCTCCCACCGAGCTCCCTCCCTCGTCACAGAATCCTTCTTCCAGCGCCCTGCCCTCCCCCCTCCTCCTGCAGCTCACTTACCTGGGGCAGGGGCCAAGGGGGGCTGGGGGACCTCTACATGCCGCTTCCTCATATCTTCAATCCTTAGAGAAGAGAAACCGTCCGATCAATATGTGTGAGTCAAGGTCTGGGTACACAAAGCTGGTGGAAGGACAGGGGCAGAAGGAGGGGAGCAAGAGGGCCAGCTCACCCTACCCGAACAAACCAGGAACACTCAGTCTCCTGTAGCTACTACTGGAAACCCCCCCAGTACCCAGCCCTGCTCCTTGTGGGGCACACACTCTGAGGCCCACCTGGCTGACTCCTGACAGCTGGCCTTCAACCTGCTGTACTCCCTCTGCAGCTGCTCCAGCTGCTCTTGCAGGCACTCCTTCTTCTCAGCCAGCTTCTCCCGGGCCTGCCTCTCTGCCTGGAAGTCCGCCTTGTAGATATCCGCCTGGCAAAGCCAAGAGAGGGGACATGCCCGCCATCCAACAGCCACTCATTAGACACTCCGTGCTGGGCACCAGAGAACAGGGCAGAGCCTGCTCCTGCCCTCCCAGAACCCACGGTGCAGAGTCACCCCACGTGCACTGAGAGCTCAAGGAACAGCACAAGGGACTCGAAAAGCTTCCAAGAAGCCACTGCAAAATGACACCAGAGACACAGCAGGTCCCAGCACCAGTGGGCCCAGTCTGCTCACCCACATGCAGGCCACAGAGGACAGCCCTCACCTGGGCCTTCAGCACCGGAACGGTCTCCATCACAATCTTGTGCTGCTCAGCCTCTTCCTTCAGTTTGTCAATCACTTCCTGTTTGGCAACCAGGGCCTCCTCGGCCTGCTGGAGCTGCTGCTTAAGATCGTCCAGCTGCATTCCCTGGAGATGGACAAGGGGGAGATGACAGACCCCAAGCTGGCGCAGAGTGGGGGTCAGGCTGCCCTCAGGTCAGCTGCCATTCCAGGTGAGAGCTGAGAAGAACGAAAGATCAACCCCGGCTGGCCAGCGCTAGGGCGATGCTGACCACAAGACATCAGTGTTTGCAGAGTACTGCAAAGGCAGAGGCTGGAGGGGACCTCTGAGGTCATGTGACACAGCCTCCCACTCAAGCTGACATGCCCTTCCCAGATTCCCCAGCTAGACAGCCCTCCTCCAACCCTTCAAGGGACAGGGGCCACACTCCCCCTGAGACCACCACTCCACTCTGAGCTGGTCTCCTGCAATAACACCGTACCACATGCCCGCTAAGCCAAGACCCATCGGTCCTTCCGCTCTGCCACCTGGTCAAAGGTCTGCTGGTCCCCCCCACACACACACAGATGTGCGCACACACAGACATTACAAACACATGCACATACAGAGACACATACAGATGCACACAAACAGACGCCCACACATGCCACCAAGTCTTCCCTCTGGAAATCAAAAGGCCGCGGTTTTGTAACTAACTTTTCCTCGTGTGACCTGTTTTCAGGCTTTACCCTTATAAGTCTCCCCTGGGTACGTTGACATTTAATGACATCCTTCTTAAAATGTGATTGCTAGAAACTGCACCCAGTACAGGTCTGATGAGGACAAACAAGAAAAGGGCTCCCAGCCACCTTCGACACTGCTGGAAACGGAAACATTCCCAGGGCTTACCTTGGCTCGGGGAAATACAAGCCAGGAGCCAAGCTGGTGATGGCTGGCAGGAAGGACCGGCCATGGAGCAAGCATGTCCCAAGCCCACAGAGGGAACATCCAGAGGCCCAGCCCAGCTGACTGTAGGCAGCAAGCAGCACAGCCCGAGCGTCCCAGCTCCCTGCAGCCTGCCCTGAGCCGTCACACTGCGGCCTTGACAAAGCTCTCGGAGAAGTCGAATACCCCTCCCCAAAAGCCAATTCTGTCAAGTCTTCAGGTAGGGCCTTGAGTCCTAACATCCCCAAATTTGGGGGAGTTAAGGAGAGGAACCAGGGCAAGATCAGTCCTAGACAGGCCCAGGGACGTCCCTGCCATACTCACTCGGTTCCGCTCACTGCTCACCATGCTGCTCTTGATGTGGTTATCATACTCTTGGAAAAGCTGGTGATAGGCCACCTGTAGCTGAGCCAGCTTCCGCCTAAGAAAAAGGAGCTTTCGCTGAAGAAACCACCTTGTCCTGGTCCAGCCACAGCTTTTCCTGCTTTCAACTCCACCCTCTTCCTGCTTGTTATGTCTACAGATAGGAGTGGTGCTTCCAGGGTGCATCTGGGCCTTAAAGGCCAGCAGTTGTGAGGCAGGCTTTGCTCAATAGTTACTATCATTTTCCTTAAAGCTAACATTTTTAAAAGTACAAAAAGAAATGTTTATAATAAAATACAACTGTCTTGCACTCTTCAAAAAAGTCAAGTTCAGGGGCTGGCCCAGTGGCGCAAGTGGTTAAGTGCGTGCGCTCCGCTGCGGCAGCCCGGGGTTCACCGGTTTGGATCCCGGGCGTACACCGACGCACCACTTGGCAAGCCATGCTGTGGTGGCGTCCCATATAAAGTGGAGGAAGATAGGCACGGATGTTAGCACAGGGCCGGTCTTCCTCAGCAAAAAGAAGAGGAGGATGGGCAGATGTTAGCACACGGCTGATCCTCCTCGCAAAAAGAAAAAAAAGTCAAGTTCATGAAAAACATTGAAAGGCAGGACGACTGTTCTACATTAGAGGAGACTCAAAAGGCACACCAATGAAAAGAATGCAGGATCCTGGACCGGATGCTGTTAACATGTGGGCCAAATGATGGAATCTGAATGTGGACTGGAGAATGGATAATATTATCATATCAAATATGGATCATTTGGGTGTGACAATGGTAAGGGACAGCCAGTCCCTAGAAGGGCTCCCCCAAACGCAGAAAGCCACTGATGGCCCCCTGGTCTCCATCCCTCCCAGTGTCAGGAACCCACTCACTTCTCCTCCGAGGCGGCCTGGCGCTCCATGCGCAGGGCGGCCTCCATGCTCTGGGTCTGCATGCGCAGCTGGTCCACCTGCACGTTGTGCTGCTGCTGCAGCGCCTCCCGCTCGCTCTCTAGCTGCCGGGCCTGCTCACTGGCTGCCCGGGCCCTGGCACAGGGGAAGAGGAAGGTCACAGCAGGGCCCAGGCAGGAGCAGGGTGTGCTAGGCACCGCCCACCGTGCTCACAGGATCCCTGCCATGCTGAGAAGGACTGGCAGCAGAAGGAAGGCAGAGCCAGAGAGCGCTAGAATCGCAGCAGTCCGCAGGAGAGGACAGGCGCGGGGAGAAGGCGTGGTTCAGAATGTCCTGTCAACGCAGAGCCAAAGCACTGTGAGAAAGGTGGAGGCCACCAGCTGTCCGGGTGGAGGCGCCGTCACCGGAGACAGGGACAACCACAGGGCACGAGGTTGGGGGTGACGTGTTCATGTCACCACAGGTGCCCGGCAGGCTACCAAGTGCAGGTGGCAAGGAGACCTGGGGCTCGGCTTCAGTCCAATGACACCCATTAGGGAAGCCCCTTCCAAGGTGAAGGAGATGGCCCCAGAAGAGGACACTGCTGGTACCAGGGGAGAGAAGCCCCCAGGAACCACCCACTGGGTTCTAAGAGGTGGTTGCTGGGGGCCCCGGCCAGAGCAGTCTCAGTGGAGGGGGTCAGGAGAGACTGGGAGGACAGGAAGTGGAGGCAGTCAACAAAGACAAGCCTTTCTAGAAGATCTGGGAATAGGAGTGGGGTCAGTGTGCTCAGGCAACTCTTTCCCTCCCGGTTGCTGTCCTAGAAGCAGAAAAGAGGCAGCTGGCCCACCTCAATGACTCAGCTGGAGTCCCAAACGCCCACACCTGAAAGAGGAGCCTCCCACCTGCCTGCCTGGGTGACAGCAATGGCCTTGGCAGGGAATTCCTCTTTCCCTCTACACTCCCGCTGAAACAGCTCATCTCTTCTCCCTCAATCTTCCGATCCAGGCCCGTAGCAGCCTACGGCCCCCATCTCCCATCTCCACACTCGTATCTCCCCACAGCTCCCTAAATCTCCAATTTCAGGCACCAGCCATGTCATCCTGCTGTCTCGAGGCCTTCCATGATCCCAACCACAGGTGTTTCTGGGTGGGGGGGTTACTGGGCATTTTCACTGGTCTCACTGTTTCTCCGCACTTGTCCAAATACGTTGAACACATATCCATCTGTGATCCGACAAAAGTTAGGTGCTGTCATCATCATCACCAGATGGAAATGCTGCCTGCCAGGGGCCCTGGAACAAGGGGAAGGGCCACTCCGACATGCCAGGTCTGGGGCTCAGAGAGCAGCCATGTGTATGGAGTTTGAAGCTGTTTAAATGGCCACACTGAATGATCTGAGATGCAAGCAAGATTTTGTGCCCCAAGCTGCCCAGCTTGGCATTACATGCTTGACCACATGGAGGAGGGATGAGAAAGGAGGTAGCCCAGGAGCCTACAACTGCCGGAGTAAACACCCGGGCAGGGTCATTAACTGACCAAAGTTGGCTGCAAAACTGCACTGACAGCACCACGCCTCCAGGAGCTTCTTTTACATGCACAGAAAAAAGATAGGCAGGAAATACACCAAATTGTCCTAAAAATTACACGTGATTTTGGAAACATGGCAGTACACAAGAGTACGCGGTGGGAAGACACCAGAATGCGACGAGCCAGAGACAACCAGGCTCAGCCTTTTGACGCCTTTCCTCGCAGTCCGTTCTCTAGATGGAAGCACGTTCGCGCCGTCTCACATATCGCTCTGATAAGGGGAAGGGGCGTCTAAAACGTTATTTAGACCCATTGGAAAACTCCTGCCTGCTCCTCTAGCCTTCTTCAGGAAGGCGTCTCTGACACCACCCAGTACACCCTGATCACCTCCTGCACTGGGGGAGCTGGTGACACCCCTTTCGGCTGGACCCATCTTTCTGGAGGGCAGCCGCTGGGCGGCATGAGAACCGCAGAAACATCCGTGCCCTTTGACCCAATGACGCCACTTCCAGGAACCCCACCTTTGCAGAAAAGAGTGACTGGCAGGCCTGAGGCTGCTAGGTTCGGAAGGGTCCGCTTGCAAGGTTGGCCCTTGGGAGTGGGTGGCACCTGGACGGTGGGCTGGTCCGAGTCCCCTACGCCACCATGACGCTTTCCTTACTGCTAAGGGTGGTCCCTGCGCCTGGACTTTTGCAGAACAGGATGGTTTACGGGGAGCACCTGCTTTCCTCCAGTAGTCGGGAAGTGTGGTGCGTGCCTGGCAGAGGGGGCCCTGCGTGACCAGCTCCCAATCAAACCCGGGGCACTGAGTCTTGAGTAGGTTCCCTGGGTCTCCAGTGACGCACATGTCACTGCTAGAGAAGGGAGAGCACTCGGTGGGCCCCCTCCTGGGAGGGGCCTAAGGCCTGGGGTTCTCCCCGCCCCGACCTGTGTCTTCTGTCCTCATGGGTCCCAGCGTGTGCCCTTTCCCTGTAGTAAATCTCAGCTGTGAGGGCACTGGGAGTGCTTCCCGAGATCACTGGGAATCACGGGTGTGCTCGTGGGGCCCCCCCGAAATGCCCCCTAAGAGAATCATCCAAATTCCAGCAAAAGGTCAGAGAGTCCAGAAGCACCGCTGGGACCCAGGTCCTAGCTGCCCAGCCCACAGCTCCTCTAAGCACCTGCTGCCCCAATGCCCCCGCGTGCTCATGCGCCACATCCTCCAGTCTTCCCTCTCACAGAGAAACCCCCAGAGGCCTCCAGGGTGGGCTTTCTCTACCCACTCACCTGCCCTCCAAAGCCTGCCGCTCCTTGGTGGCGGCCTCCAAGCGACTCTGGCTCTCTTGGAGCTCCCCCAGCAAGGACGTCACCTGGGCTTTCACTGAGGCCTTGTCTTCGGCCATCTGCTGCATGAAAAAAAGCCACTTCCTGTCAGCAATGCTTTCTCACCAGCTGCCCACCCCTGGCAGCCGCAAGCCCCAGGACAGCCTGCAAGGGCCAAGACATGTCACCCTGAGGGCTTCTCTTCTGCCCTCAGCATCCCCACTCATCTCACCTACGGAAGCTTCCCTATCCTAGCAAGGCAACTGAGGCAGTGGAAACAAATAGAGTCCCATGAGCCCACACTCCCAAGCCCCTCCTTATCCCTGCAGATGGGACAACATGAGACCCAGGAGCACAGAGGTGCCTCAAGTCTCATGAGGCTGATGACCAGGCTGTGAGGGCTGAGCCGAACAGGAATCTCCCGGCCCCTCTGAGACTCGGTGCCAAGGGAGGCGAGACTCAAAGACAGCAACAAAAATACATGCTCCATTCCACAGGCCTGGGGCCACTAGAAGGTGAGCTAGATTGACCCTGTTTCCTGAAGACCTCCACCAGTGACAAAATTCCAGAGTTGTCCAAACTCCCCATCACCTGGTCTCCCTCATCAAACTGTCCAGACCCAGGTCCCTCACAACCTCAGGCTGCTCAACCCAGGGTTGAACCTCAGTTGCCGGCACCCCCGACCCCTCTACAGTAACCCCTCCATAGTAACTGCCACTCGTGCCCTCTACAGCCCTGCCCTGCGTTCCTGCACGCGCGTGCGCACACACACACCCGCCTGCCACTCCCTCCCCTCTCCTTTGCAACTGCTGTCCCAAGAACGCGGCTCTTCTCCATCTACGTGCACATGCATGGTGATCTGATCTGGTCTCAAGGCTTTCGATACCCCCTACAGGCTGCTATCTTCCAAATTCATACCACCAGGACAGACTTCTCTCCCGAACCCTAACTTAGCTATTCAATTGCCTGCCCAGTATCTCCACGTCTGTGCCTCACAGCAGATCCTGTCGGCTAGTGCCCACCCTGGTCAGAGCCCCATGCCAGGCCGCTGCCATGGGCTTCCACTGGGGCTCCCCCCTCCACTCCTGCACCTGTAGGAATTTCCTGGGGTTGCCATAAAGGACCACAAAGTGGGGGGCTTAAGACAACAGAAATGTACTGTCTCCCAGTTCTGGAGGCCACGAGTCCAAGAGTAAGGTGTCAGCAGGGTTGGTCCTTCTGAGGGGTCTGGGGGGAAATCTGTTCCAGGCCACTGTCCTGGATTCTGGAGGCTGCCAGCAGTCCTTGGTGTTTCTTGGCTTATAGACATGTCACCCCAATCTCTGCCTTCATCATGTTGCCATCTTCCCTGTGTGTCTGTTTCTCTTCTTATGAGGACACCAGTCATTGGATTTAGGCCCCTCCCACTCCAGTAGGACCTCATCTTTACTTGATGCCATTTGCAAAGACCCTATCTCCAACTCAGGTCCCATCCACAGGTACCGGGGGTTAGGACGTGGACATTTATTTTGGGGGGACACAATTCAACTCATAACTCCCCTCCTACACTCTGTACTCTACAGGAAGCCAGATAACGTCTCACACCAGCACAGCACCCTCCCACAGTTCCTGTCACACTCAGGACCAAAGCCAAATCCTCCCACTGGCCTATTAAGCCCACACGAGCAGCCCCTGCGACCCTGCCCTCATCAGCCCCCACCCACTCAGCCCCAGCCATGTTTGCCTCTTTGGTGTTCCCTGCACATGACAGGCATGCTCCTTCCTCTGAACCTCTGCACGTGCTTTCCCCGCCCTCAAAACGTGCCTGCCCCACATACCCACATGGCTCACCCCTCACTGTCTTCTGGTCCCTACTCAACGGCCGCTCAGGGAGGCCTTCCCCATCTAACCTTCCCTGTTAGATCAACAGCTCCACTTGGGCATCTAGTAGTCCTCTCAAAACTAAGCTCTCCAACACTGCACTCCTGCGAGTCCCCCAAAGCCAGGGCCACCCACAGCCTTCCTTATTGTCAGCTAATGGCCAATCCATCCTCCAGTTATCGGGACAAAAACCTCGGAGTCCTTCTTGACTCCTCCCTTCCCCCCCCCAGCTCATATCTAATCCATCAGGAAATCCTGTCAAAATGTATCCCAGAATCTATTTGATGACACTAAGCAATTAATGTTAACTATTTCAGGTGTGAGAGTGGTATTGTAGCTATGTTTTTTTAAATCTTTTCTATTTATTTTATTTATTTTTGTGTGTGTGTGAGGAGATCAGCCCTGTGCTAACATCTGCCAATCATCCTCTTTTTTTTTTTGCTGAGGAAGACTGGCCCTGGGCTAACATCCGTGCCCATCTTCCTCCACTTTATATGGGACGCCGCCACAGCATGGCTTGCCAAGCAGTGCGTCGGTGCACGCCCGGGATCCGAACCGGTGAACCCCAGGCAGCCACAGTGGAGCACGCTCACTTAACCGCTTGCGCCACCGGGCTGGCCCCTAAATCTTTTCTTAGAGATGCATACTGAAACATTGTCAGATGAAATTATATGGTGTCTGGGATTTGCTTCAAAATAATGGGGGAACTCCTAGGTATGTACCCAAAAGAAATGAAAACACATGTCCACACACGATGCTCACAGCAGCATCACTCCTAACAGCCAAAGAGTGGAAACGACCTAAGTGGCCATCAACTGAAGAATGGATAAACAAAGGCAGTCTCTCCCCACACAGGAACATCCTTCGGGCACGGAAAGGAATGGAGTGCTTGTACACGCTACAATAGGCACGAACCTCAAAAACATTACGCTGAGTGAAAGAAGCCAGATACGAGGGCCACACACTGTATGATTCCATTCACATCAAATGTCTGAAGAGACAAATCCAGAGATAGCAAGCAGATGAGTGGGTGCCGGGGGCTGGGGAGTGACGGCTAATGGGGATAGGGTTTCTTTTTGGGTGATGACAACGCTTGGGAACGAGATAGAGGTGATGGTTGTACAACTCTCTGAATATACTAAAAAACATTGAATTAAGGCTGACTTTACGGTATGTGACTTTTATCTCAGTAGAGCTGTTAAAAAAATTCTTCCTTGTGGCTCTCCCAGTTTCTCCAGTGATGGCATTCAGGTTGTTCCCAGGTTTCTGCTGGGGTGAGCATCTTACTCCATCTCCTGTTGTCAACGTACAAGAGTTTCTCTTAGGTACATGCCTGGGGTGAAACTGCTGAGTCGGGAGTAACCTGAATGTTCAACTTTAGGAGAAAATGCCAGTTTTCCAAAATAGTGGCACCAACTGACGTGGCCACCAGCAACATGAAGCCACTCCAATACCTGCTACTGTCAGACTTATCAGCTAGAAACAGGGCTATGGCAGTGGCCCTGATCACTCCTGTGAAACCAGCATCCCATCATGTGAGCATGGGGCAGGCAGATAGGGTACTCCCGGGACTGCGCCGGGCGGCCGCTCTGACGGCCTTCTGCAAAGAGCAGCTCTCTCCTTCTCACTTCTGCACTGAGGACACCAGTTCAGGATTGCAGTGGCTTTAATGGGGGCCCCCAAAATTTATGTCCATGTCCTAACCCCCACTACCTGGGAATGGGACCTGATTTGGAGATAGGGTCTTTGCAGATGTAATCAAGTTAAGATGAGGTCGTACTGGAGGGGGGTGGGCCCTGATCCAACGACTGGTGAGAACTACGAAAGAAATCAGCACAGAACAACTTCAGCTCAACTCCATCCAAATCCCTGCACTCCGAGACTTGACCAAACTTTAACATGGCTTCTAGGAGCCTAAGGTCACGGCCCTGGGACGACCCAGCCCCCTTTTGAGTTCCTGTCTGAGAAAACAGGGCTGGCAAAAGAATTTACTGTTTGTTCCAGCCAACACTTGACACAGGGGCCCCACCTCCCTTACTTAGAGCATTTACCAAAAAGGGCTCCCACTGTGAATACTTCCTCTCCCACTTTGAGATGTCTGTGTAACTCCTACAACCCAGGAGAGTCTTGCTCAAGGACCTGAGAACCATTCCTTTGAAATGGAATCCTCAGGAAGGATAGGGCCTCAGTCTCCCAGTCTCTATGCAGGATGGAATCCTAACTTCCATAATGGCCAGCGGCAGACACGGCTGGCCTCATGCATTTACACTGACCACCCTCTGTGAGTTTTCTCTGAGCCCCTACTCACTCCCTCTGTCTGTTTAAAACGCCCGCCACCTCTGCGCAAATTGGAACGGAGCTCAGCTCTTTCCCCTGCTGTCGGGAGTTACCGAATAAACTCTGTTCTCACCACTCTAACTAACGTGCAGCTGCGTTTCTCTTTGACACTGGCATCTTTATAAGAAGAGGGGAGACAACAGACAAATAGGGAGAAGGCAATGTGACAACAGTGGCAGAGATGGAGTGATACAGTTACAAGCCAAGAAACGCCAAGGACTGCCAGCCACCACCCGAGGCTGAGAGAGAGGCCTGGGACAGCTTCTCCCTCAGAGTCCTCAGAACGAACCAACCTTGCCAACATCTTGCTCTTGGACTTCTCGCCTCCAGAACTGGGAGATAATACATTTCTGTAGCTTAAAGCCACCCAGTTTGGAGTACTTTGTTATGGTAGCCCCAGGAACTTACAGTTCCCCGAGTGCCCTGCCAGGCATGCTGACAGCGTGATTTGTGGTGGGGCCTCGGGCCGCACACATCAGCCTGACCTCCATGGGACCAAGACTGAGTAACTAAGGTCAGGCACGCGGGCGTTCCAGGCCCACAGGACCCACCCCCAGTAAAGACCCTGGACACCGCGGCTCCAGGGGAGCTCCCCTGGTGGCAGTACTCCGTGAGTGCTGTCACACATCGCTGCTGGGAGAAATTGTGCTGCTGCACGACTCCACTGGCAGGGGACCTGGAAGATCCTGCCTCATCTCTCCCGGACCCACCCTACGGACGCTCCTTTTATCTTTGCTGATTTCAACCCGTATCCTTTCACTGTAATTAACCAGAACCACCATAACCACGAGGATAACTGCTTTTCTGAGTTCTGGGAGTCCTCCTAGTGAAGCAGCAAGCCTGAGGGTGCTCTTGGGGACCTGTGACCACGGGTTCCCTCTGGGAACACTGGTGTTCCTGTGGGTTTTCAGAACGCAGGTGGCTGGTAGCACAGGTGGCCAGAGCCCCCAGCTCACCCGCTCCTGGGAAAGGGTCCTCCTTGCCCCCCTGGCTACCTGCTGGCATCTCTTCAGGTGCTCCACCTCCTTCAGGACCTGCTCCCTCTGCCTCCTCAGGTCAAGCTTCTCCATGCTCAGTCTCTCCACCAGTTTTCTGGCCTCCTGGAATTTCTGCATGAGGAACTCCTTCTCCTCCCTCTGGCTGCTTTGGAAACGCTGCAGCTCCTCACAGCGCTCCCGCAGCATCTGGTTGCTCTGCCGGATGGCATCTGGCGGCAGAGGAGACAGCAGAGGGGAGGTGAGCCCTGGCAGCCGGCCCAACAGCCCCTCCCTGGGCCGTCATGTCGCCCTCCCCATAATACCACGAGGCCTCTTACACAGAGAGATGGCTTTGAAACACTTAATCTTATTTCAGGAAACACTTTCAAAATCAATTATGCTACTGATATGCCTCTAAATTTCTCCAACGAGATACTAAACACATCAGCTTCACTTAAAAGTGTGTGCCAAGGGGCCAGCCCAGTGGCACAAGCCGTTAAGTGCACACGCTCCGCTGTGGCGGCCCAGGGTTTGCAGGTTTGGATCCCGGGCGCGCACCGATGCACTGCTTGGCAAGCCATGCTGTGGCGGCGTCACATATCAAAAGTAAAGGAAGATGGGCACATACGTTAGCTCAGGGCCAATTTTCCTCAGCAAAAAAAGAGGAGGATTGGCATCGGATGTTAGCTCAGGACTGATCTTCCTCGCAAAAAAAAAAAAAATGAGCGGCAAACGCCACTTTCTTTTTAAGTGACTCTGGAACTCATTTGTATTCTGGTCGGGTCAAAGGCTGCCTGCCCTGGGGCGCTGACTTCAAGATCAGGATGTCCTAACCTACCTGCGACTGGGAGGACAGCCACTGGGGCACACTTCCCTGTGGCATTGCTGGCTGCAGCCTGGGAGGGCCGCAAGGCTTGCAGTGAGCCAGTCAGTCACCTCTGGGAGCCTCACCATCCTAATCTGCATGTTCGACAGGGACGATCCCACCCATCTCACAGGAGGACGAGGCTTAAGCAAAAAAGCAGACAAAGGGCCAGATGCACGACACGAACTCAAGAAACAGCTGGTCCTCCTGTCACCAGGCTGAAGGCTGAGTGTTTACAAATGCCAGGCAGTCAGCAGAGGCCGAGGAAAGGAGAGCCACATGCCCAGGGGAGACCCCAGGCAGAAGACTGTCGGGGGTGACAAAACCAATCAGTGACATGCAAAGGTTCTAGCAACTACAGAGCTGCATAAGACGGGGGCAAAACCCTCACCTAGCTGACAGGGCCTGCTGCCGGCCCATTCTTTCACAAAAACTGCAGTGGTTTCTGAGCCTGGCTCCAAAGCTGCCTAAGCCACCTTATGCATTCTACCGTCCCCGTATGACTCCACCCCTGCAAGGGAGGGGTGCTGAGCGCAGGCCCTGGACAGGGGCCCTCCTGCCTCCGGCACACAGTTCCCCCACTGACCCCCACCTGTCGCAATCCTGCCCAGCCCCTGCCCAGCCCCTGCGCAACACTCAGCTCACATGCAACTTCTTTTTTTACTGAAGTTAAATTCACATAACATCAAATTCATCATTTTAACTATTTTAAAGTATACGGTCATTCAGTGGTTTTAGTGTATTTACAAAGCTAAATACCCATGACCTCTATCTAGTTCCAGAACATTTCCATCACCCCCAAAAGAAACCCCATACCCACTGGCAGTCACTTCTCCACTGCCCCCAGCCCCTGGCGTCCACTCATCTGTTTCTCTCTCTGGACTTGCCTTTCCTGGTCATGTCACATAAATGGACTCCTACACTAAGTACCTGCAACTTCTTCCATGAAGTTCCCCCACAAACATTGCAAGCAAAGTCTATGTCCTTCCTCTTGCCCCCTCCCCCATGAACAGAGTCATGAGCATTGTGGGGGCAGACACCTTCAGGGCACCAGGGTTTTGACCCAGGGCCTGACACACAGTATCCGTTTAGCAGAAACATGTGGAGCCGACAGGCTGTGCAAGCGCAGGTCAGGTGGCACAGGTGGAGGCCATGCAGCTTGAGGCCTCCACCTGCCGCTGGAGCCCAAGCCCCCTGGGGGGAGCCAGGGGTGCCATGGTCCTTGTGCAGCCGGCCTGACACCCACTTGCCCGAGTCCCCCTTGCCAGAGCACTCTCCTGGGGATGAGTGGAAGCCACATACACAGCTGTAGAGGGTAAGCTGTATCCCCACCCCCTAACCTGGCTGCCAGTCCCATGTGGCCCCAACACAGCAAGACATCTGGGGACACTGTTGGCTCTCATAACTGGAGGGGTGCTATTGGCATCCAGTGGGAAGAGGCCAAGGATGCTGCTCAACACCTTGCAAGGCCCAGGACAGCCCCAAAATGTCTGAGCATTGAAGGGAAGGATCCTGCCCTAAAGGCAGGCGGGTCTTGTGGGCTCTCTGTGCTCGATGCAGGGCCAGCCCTTCAGGAGACCAAGCACCCCCTGGTGACAAGTTGACCCCTTCCACCCTGGAAGGGAAGGTGACTCGTCTTGACAGGAAAAAGAGACACATATTCCAGGCATGGGTTTGGTCCCTGCCTGCAGAGCCTCAGCCAGCACCACTCTCTGAGGTCTACAGAGCATATGACTCATCAGTGTAGGGCCCCATGTAACATCCTGTCACACCAGGGGATACACCGTCCAGCAAAGGAGGTGAGGGAGCTGCCCCATGACTGTGGCCTCCAGTGGTTGTGTCACATGCCAACCCATCGGCCCACTAGGACAGGAGATGGCTGACTGAAAACAACTGAAGTACCAGCTTGAGGGTGAGTCCTCCAGGATACGGTGTACTCGGAGGCCGTGACCTTTGTTAAGCCCTGACTTCCTGACAGGAACCAAGGAATGAAACAAAAGGGGCCACATGCCCCACCACTCCCCAAGACCCACATGCGGAGTCTCTGCCGCCCCTCCCTGCTGGGCTCCGTGGTCTAGAAGGTCCCCACAGCAGAAATGCGAGAGTCTCACTGAATTAGAAGCTAGGAGTGCCACCTGGGCACCTGGGGCTCCTTGTACCAAAGGAGCAGCAGGCTAGAGGAGGAGCCCGGGGGGCATGATCACGAAGTGGGTTCAGCAGGGGCGGGGGCGGGGGGGCGCTGTCCCAGGTGGGGCAGGCAGGAATGTGCCACATTCCACGGCAGCCATGGGCAGGCAAAGTGCAATGGCCACTGGGACCTAGAGAAGCTGCCCTGGATCCAGGTGAGGACGTGCAGGGTGAGTGAGCAGCGCTGTGATGGAGACAGGGATGGGACGGCCAGGAAAGTACTCGACCCCCAGCCCCCTGGGGGGGGGGAGGCGCTGCTGGAGGATGGCCCTTACCTGGGGTCTCCTCAGTGAGCCACCTGGCCCAGGGTGGCCCGCACCTCCCCCTTTCCCAAAGCACCCACAGACCCTTCCCAAGGCAGGCCACGCCCTCTGCCAGGATAGCCAGGGCTTAATGACTGATCAGAGCAGAGACACGAAGGCCCGGTCGTGTTGGCCCAACTTGGGACAACTCAGAAGGGTCATTCCAGATCCAGAGCTCCCTGTAGGTCGGCCTGCACTGCAGCCCAGCTTCTCCCTCCCCCCACCCCTGGTTCTTCCCTGTCCTTCCCTTCCCTTCCCCAATGTTGGTCCTGAGCACAAACTTCCTGCATGCTAATCTGTATCTCAGGGTCCACTTCTAAGGAACACCACCAGAAACAAAGAGGGAGGGTGGACGAGTTTGAATCACTAGCTGGCGCTCAGGCACATGCCCACCCTAGACCCAAGAAACACAGAGGCGCAAGTGAGTGGAATAAGCCTTCCCTCTAGCAGGGCTAGGTCGCCTGGCTTTTTGTTGCCCATACCCCGTCCTCCTCACCTCGGAGCTCTTGATTCTCCTCCAGACAACGCTGGAAGGTCTCGGGAGTGCCCTGCTCTGAAGGCAGGTGGAGCATGGCCGGCTTCCCCAGAGAAGACTCTTCACCGAGCACGTCCTGGTCCCCTGTCGGGCCGCCACTGGGCTGCACCATCTCACACAGCTGACTCTTCCAGGGGGGCCTGCTCATCCAACAAGTCAGGGTCTGGAAGAGAAAGACAGCAGAGGTGTAACACAAGACCCATGCAGAATTCTGTTACCCTGCAGGACAAGGAGTGTAGACTGTGCAGGAGTTCTGGGGCCACACTTTAAGCAGGATGCCAAGCGTTTGGTCGAGTGTAATAGGATGCTAAAATGGGCTTTTTGGTCTAACAGGTGGCACATGCTCCCATTCCAAAGGGAGGTGCAGGCCCATACGTGGGACTCGGAAAGGCCATGGTTCAGCACTGGGTATAAACTCTGCCTAGCACCTATCTCTGGGCTGTAAGCTAAAGGTAAACATTTCACCAGAGGGAGGAGTGTGCTGATATTCCCACCTCCTACACACCTCCAAACAAGAGTGGTGAAGGTTGTTGGCCCCTCACCTAGTGTAATGTTGAATGGTGGCCCCCAACAAGATACGTCTACTTCCTAACCCCTAGAACCTGTGAATGCAACCTTATTTGGATAAACGGTCTTTGGAGATGTAATTAAATGAGGATCTTGAGATGAGACCATCCTGGAGTAGGGTGGGCCCTAAATGCAATGACAAGTGTCCTCATAAGAGATGGAAGAGGAGATCCAGACACAGAGAAGGCCACGTGAAAACAGAGGCAGATACTGGAGGGATGTGGCCACAAGCCGAGGAACACCTGGGGCCCCCAGAAGCTGGAAGAAGCAGGAAGGGTCCTCCCTTAGAGCCTCCAGAGGGAGCACAGCTCTGCCAACACCTTGATTTCAAACTTCTGGCCTCCAGCACTGGGAAAGGAGAAATTTCTATTGTTTTAAGCCCCCAGCTTGTGGTCATCTCTTACAGCAGCCCTAAGAAATTAATAGATCTAGTCAGAGGGGCTTTGAAGAGACCACGCAGAATCTGATGAGTGTTCCCTGGAACTGGGGGGCCGAAGGGGACATCTAGTATCTGACATGTGCTAAGTAATCTGAAAGTGAGAGCTGGCCTCACAGACTAAGACAGCAGAGCAGAGAGACAGGCTGAGCTGTTTGCGTTCTCTTCTGAACTAGAATAGAGGCAGCCCACGTGGGACAGCACCAGCCTAGAGCCCTTTTAAATCCCACCCAAGAAGACTAACTACCTGGAGGAGGTGGCCAATCCAAATACAAGTTTCCAGGAGCAGGCCTGAGCTGAGGAAGGAGACTTGAACACTGAATAAACTTGGACATTTGACTATGACACTGATCCTCAACACCCCACTAACCCATCAGCAGTATTTAACCAACCACTGACCCCTCCCTCAGCTTACAGAACAGCCCACTCTCCTGGTTTTCCTCCTACTTCACTGGCTGCTCCTGCAGTGGATCCTCCTCATCAACACATCCCTTCACGTTGTGGTGCTCCAGGGCTCTGTTCTGGGATCTCTTCTCTAACTACAGTCACTCCAGGACTAATTCCATCCAGCCTCACGGCTTTAACCCCCATTCTAATGCTGATGATGCCCTAAAATTAGACCTGTTTCCTGGACTCCAGACTCACGTATCAGACTCAACATCTCCACCTGGGCATCTAGTAGTCCTCTTAAAACTAACCTCTCCAACACTGCACTCCTGCAAGTCCCCCAAAGCCAGAACCACCCACAGCCTACCTTACTGTCAGCTGATGGCCAATCCATCCTCCAGTTATCAGGACAAAAACCTCGGAGTCCTTCTTGACTCCTCCCTCCCTCCCTCCGTCCATCCCCCTCTCCCTCTCTCCCTCTCTCCCTCTCTCCTTCTCTCTCAGCTCACATCTAATCCATCAGGAAATCCTGTCAAAATGTATCCCAGGGGCCAGCCCTGTGGCTTAGCGGTTAAGTGCGTGCGCTCTGCTGCTGGGCTGCTGGCAGCCCAGGTTCAGATCCCGGGGGCGCACCAACCCACCGCTTCTCCGGCCATGCTGAGGCCGAGTCCCACATGCAGCAACTAGAAGGATATGCAGCTATGACATGCAACTATCTACTGAGGATTTGGGGGGAAAAATAAAGTTTAAAAAAATGTTAAAATGTATCCCAGAATCTATTTGATGACACTAAACAATTAATGTTAACTATTTCAGGTGTGAGAGTGGTATTTTAGCTATGATTTTTTAAATATTTTCTTAGAGATGCATACTGAAACACTGTCAGGTGGTGTCTGAAATTCACTTCAAAATAATGGGGGAACTCCTAGGTATCTATGCAAAAGAAATGAAAACACATGTCTACACATGAATGCTCACAGCAGCGTTACTCATAACAGCCAAAGAGTGGAAACAACCCAAATGTCCATCAACTGAGGAATAAACAAAATCTACTACATTCACATGCTACAACATGGACAAACATTGCAAAGAGAGAAACAATTCACAAAAGACCACACAGTGTGTAATTCCATTTATATGAAATGTCCAGAATAGGAAAATTATCTATAGAGACAGAAAGATTAGTGGATGCTTAGAGCTGGGGGAGACGGGGTGATGTGGGTGATAGCTACAGGGTACGGAGTTTCTTTTTAGAGTGATGAAAATGTTCTGGAATTAGTAGTGATGGTTGCACAACTCCGTGAATACACTAAAAACCAGTGAATTGTACACTTTAAATGGGTGAATTGTGTGGTATGTGAATTATATCTCAATAAAATTATTATTGAAAATAATAATGGGAGACAATTGTGAGGGATATAAATTAAAATTAGCCATGAGTTGGTAACTGTTGAAGCCCGGAGGTGGCTCCACGGGATTTACCATACTAGTCTTTCTACTTTTGTGCATCTTTGTAAATTTTCATAATAAAATGCTCAAAGCACCATCAACTCTCACCTGGATTACTGCAATAACCTCCTAACAGGTCACCCTGCTCCTATCCTTGCCTACTACAGTCTGTTCTCCCCACCGAGGCCAGAACAATAAGCCTAAAAGGTAATTATGATCACGTCCCTCCTCTACTCAGATCCATACCATGGTTCCTCATTGTCCTCCATGTAAAAGCCAGTCTCTGACGGCCTACAAGGCCCTGCACCATCTGGTCCCCCATTGCTTCCTCTCCAAGTATTCTCCCCTTGCTCACTCTGCTCCAGCTTTTCCTCCAATGTGCCACGACGGCCCATTCATCCTCAAGTCACAGAAATGGTATGAGATTGGGTAGACATTAATCGTTTTGCAAAGTGAGCAAACTGAGGCACATGAGGTAAGATACTTAGCTGCCAACCTATATTTGAGGCCTTTCTAAAGAACTTAACAACCTCAAATACAATCAAGTTTGATGAAGAGAAAATATCTTCGAACTAGAAGAGTCACCCACGAAATAGGGGTGTGATCAGACTCCACAGCGGCGGCGGAGGGAGAGGCAGGAACAGTCCTGCTCACCGCCAAAGAAACCTGATCCTGCATCGTCCCGCCTTGGCCGGTGCTCTAGATGCGGGCGGCAGAAATGGGCGGGGGCCCAAAAGGAGAGAAAAGCGTGGACGTCCGGGAGAGTCTCAGAGGCGGTGGAACGCCCACTGATGGTACCCTGCCTTCGGGGAAGAGGACCACACCTGTCAGCAGAATCGGTCCGACGTGAGAAGGACAGAAGCGACAGGCCGCGAGCGCTCCTCGGGCCCCGTCCCTCCGAGAAAGTCCCAGTTCCGCGGTCGCCTTTCCCTCCTCCCGCTGCCGAAATCCCCACTTCCTGCTTCCGGTGTCGTACTGTGGGATCCGGAAGTAAAACAGGGAAGCCCCGCCCCCGCCCATGAGGCCCGCGAGAAGTACTAGGGAGGCTGCTCCAGAGGGAAGCCCGAGCCCACCAGTCTCGGTCGGCCCGCAGGACGCTCCCCAGTGATATCCACCACCTGCTACTTTTCGGGGCGTCACGACCCACACTGCCCCTTGTCCCTCGGTCTACAGCATCCAGCCTCCGCGTGCTCGGCTGCCTCGGCCCCGCAAGGGGAGGAGCCACGACGAGGCTGCCCAACAGGGCCGGTCTGACCCGAGCGGGCGACCGTCCAGTGCGAGGGCGGGGCTCAGATGGCCCCGCCTATAGCCTGGGTCGAGGAGGCGTGGCCACGCTGCCAGCGGAAGTGGAGCCTTCCGCGAGGGTGTAGGGCCGTCTGGGGCCTGCGAGAAAGCCGGCCTGTAGGGGCGGGGCTGAGCCGAGCCGGTGATGGGGACTCGGGCGAACGGCGCGGAGCTGCACGCGGACCCGCGACGCATCCGGGACGCGGCTCAGCGGCGGCGTGTACAGCAGGCGGCCCGCGGCCGGGCGGCCGTTGCAGGTGCCCAAGAGGCGGGGCGAGCCAAGGGCGGGGGGGCCTCGCGCGGGGGCCAGCCTGGGATGCGCGCGCACTTGCCTGCTCCCTCACCGGGCCCCGCCCCTGGAGGGAGGGACCTGTGGGGGCACCGCCCGCGCGCCTCGCCTGAGGCGGGTCGGCTGAGACCAGGCGCCCGCCCCCGCTGATTAAGTGGGCCGGCGGGGCGCAGCCCCCGGAAACGGCTGAAACTCCGGGGCTGCGAGTGCGACGGGCGGCGGCGGTAAGGTGCAGGTAAGGGAGTGGGCGGGCGCCGCGCCGGCGGAGGGAGGGGTGTGCGGCACCTTAGGCCCTTTGATTTGCCGTGCTTGGGAGCGGGGGCAAAACCGAGACGGCCTTAACCGATCCCACTGACCCCCCTGCATCCCTGCCGCTGGAGCCCTGAGGAGACTGAGACCGCGAGAGGACTTGCCAGGGTCTCAGGCTGGCAGAAAGAGAGCTGGAGATGCACTCCATCATCTGCACGGTCTAACATGCTCCAGCTCATTGTGGAGTTTCTGCCTGAGTCCGGGGTGCGATGGACCTAGGCAGGTCGTGCGATGTCCAGCAGGGTTTTGCTTGGTCCCTCAGAATTGAGGCTCTAGCTGGAATCCACTAGGGCTTTGGGCAATTTTGTATTGTACACCGTGAAAGAAGGCTGCTTGGGGAGTATGGCTGAAGCCCAGAGCCAGCAGTTTCTTACTTCCCAACCATCCTGCTCCCTGGCCATTCACAGCGAGTGGTTTCAATAATCAGGCGTTAGCTGGGTGAGAGCCCAAAGGACTCCTCGAGAAAGGGGCCATCTTCTCAATGCTCTGATGTTCTTGTGCCTTGTCAATGAGCCTTTCTTCCACCAGAGAGCATCATGGCAGAACAGGTGGCCCTGAGCCGGACCCAGGTGTGCGGGATCCTGCGGGAAGAGCTGTACCAAGGTGATGCCTTCCATCAGTCCGATACACATATCTTCATCATCATGGGTGCATCGGTGAGTCTCCCCGAGGCCCATCATCTTAAAACCCACACTTAGAGCATGACATTGCTTAAGGTCCCTTCCTGCTCAATGCCTGGGCTTTCCCAACTGACTGTTGTTGGGCCACGTGGGCTCTGCTTGGTTGGGCTCTCCGTCTTGCTCCTGCCTGTGTGCCACTATCATCCCAGCACCATACGGTATATACACGTTAGGAGGCATTTCTGAAGTCCATGCACAGCCATTGACTGTATACATTAATAGGACAGCCATTGACTGTCCTGGAGCTGGGAAGTCCTTCTCCACGGGGAACACTGAAATGCAAACAGGGAGTCTAGTCATTCTGTGAGTGTTTTTCTCAAACCTGTTTGTGACTTGACAGATGTCACACAGTGAGTTAGTTCCAGAGGCAGGTTCTGAGGCCCGATCTCCACCTTGTTTCTCTCTACCACATCAAGTTCCCTGGGGACAAACACTCGACCTTTCTTTGAGCATTGTCTCTTTGCCCCATTTTGCTCTGATAGAGTAGAAGCACAGTGACGGTTTGTGATGGCAAGTGGGCACAGGAGAGGGAGAGTGGGTCCTAGTCAAGCCATGACCCTCAGACTAAAGCGCTTCCTGGCGTACCGTGTGGAAACGAGATCTGCCAGGTGGCCAGACATGTGCAGGGGCTGCTGAGATGAGCTGCCAGGGTTTCATCTTGAAGAAAAGTGGTCTCTTCTCACTTTTAACCCTAGACATGACCAAGAACCTGCTAACCATTGTATAATCACCTCTGCCAGTAACTTACTGTGTAATCTTGAGCAAGAGTTCCACCAAAGTTAGAGAGTTCTTGACAGGGCAGGTCTTATCTCTCTGTGCCTACCACAGCACAGTCCCTTCAGCTCTGGAGGAACTTGGTTCTTTGTTCATATATCATAACCTGCCACCACCCTTTGCAGAGTCTACTCCCTGGAAACTTTGGGATTCTGATCCAAACTTGGAAAAGGAGAGCCAGAATGCAGAGCAGGAGGCAGTACAGGGTAGAAGGACTCTGCCAGTAGGAGGGAAGGGAGGGCTGCCCCAAGCAGTGTCTTCTGATGCCCTGTACCCAGGAGGAGCAGACAGGGGACACGCTTGGCCTCTACCCTGGCCTCAGCCGCATCCCCTTGGAGGAGCCATACCTCTGTTGGCCACAGACCTTAACACCTAGGACTCTGAACATTAGGTCCTTTGTCCAAGAAATAGGTTGGTAGAGAAAGTAACTCAGGATTATTTTTCCTCCTTCCCCCGTCTCCATGCCAGCCTATCACAGGATGCCCCTACAGAGCATGCCAGGCCACAAGAAATGGCATGTGACTCCAGGCCCTCAACTCTTAAGTGCCCCATTGAGAGCATCCAAGCTTGCTGTGTGACCTAGGGCAAGTGTCTTCCCTTCTCTGAACCTCAGTGTTTCCATAGCAAACCAGGGCTTTTGAAACAAGTGCCGAAGGTCCTCGGGCTCTACCAAGCTGATTCTGTGAGTCCTCACTGCCTTTGCCTGTGGCCAGCTTGGGGTTGGGCAACTTTGTTTCTTTGCAATGAGTAGGGTTTCCCTTTGCTCTCCTTTGCTCTGGAGTGACAACCGGAGGCTTCCAGAGCAGAAATGGGAAGTGCTGCTCCAGCAGGGTCGAGTGGGGGAGAGCAAGGGTTCTCTGAAGAAGAGCCTCCTTGTTTGTTTTTCCCTTCTACTCCAGGGGGCTGGAGAGGGTGGGCCGCCCACGCTCAGGCAGCACCTAGAACAGCTCCCACAGTCTGGCCTCCACTGCCTCACTGTCTCCTTCGTCTGGGTAGGAGGTGGGCAGAGTGGTGCTGGGGGCGCACTGTACCAGAACCTGCTGCTCTGGGAGACCAGTGAGGTCTCTCTTCCTCCATCCAACAAATGCTGACCAAGTGCCTCCCCTGCAGCACAGCGAGCATGGGCCCTGCCCTCTTCTTGGGGCCTCTGTGGTGGGGGCCAGGACCCAAGGTGAGTTAGCCTAAGAAGAGTTCAGAGTGGCCCATGTGACAGAAGACGCAGACAGGATCCTGTGTCCCCAGCCCCCCAGCACACAGGTCTCATGAAGAGGGCCTGCAGAGAGGCCTGCAGAGCCAAGGCCGGCGGGGAGCACACCACACAAAGGGAAGAGCAGACACAGAGCCCCAAGTGGGGCAGGCTGGGCCCACATGGCCATTCTCTGCCCCTTCCTCCTCCTCCTCCACTTACCCAACCCTCAGCGGCACGCCCAGCTTCCTTCCTCAGGGCCTCCTGATGCTGGCTCACAGAGTTACCCAATGGGCTTTGAGCTGACCTCTGTTCCCCCTGCTATGTGGCCACTTCCCCCCTCCTTAGGACTCCCACCCCCAGCCAGGAAGGGAGTGGAGGTACTTACTATCCTAGTCCAGAAAGCTTTGGAATGAAGGAAACCGGTTTCTCCTTACAGACCAGCATGGGGGGAGGAACCTTGGGCCTGGCAGATCATGTCCTCCCCCATCTGATAGGACTCGGCCAGCGGGCTCAGCGACTCTCCCCACCTCAGGGAGTGGAGAGAGGAATAGGAGTGAGAGAAAGAGAGACCAGGACTGGGAGTCCACTGGGCAGGATTGACTCCCTGCAGGGTCCTCAGTGAGCCCCTCACCTCTCTGGGCTTCAGTCTCCCCATCTGGGCCACAAGGGCTATGGGCTCGATGGGTGCTCAGGCCCCATCCTGATGATGGGCCTGTGAAGGGATGGCCTGGCAGCCCCAGGCCCTCCCTCTCCTCCGGACGTTTCTGGGCTGCCTTCCCCCTTGGGCTGATAAGATTCTTGCTGTGTCATGATGACATTGGCACTCCCCCAAAGGCCTGGTGATTCGTAAGCCCCAGGGTGTAGGAGGGAGGCCCTTTTCTTGGTTTTACACCCGAGCCTACCTCAGCAGACCCTAGGTTCTCTCGGTCCAGTGGCCGGGAGCCAGCTGGGTCCCAGCCAGGGCCTAGACTCCATCCTGGGAGGCTGGGCGGATCCTTGACACGAGTGACCCTAGGGGGACTAGGGTGGCCCACCCCTGCTGGGCCTCCAGTTGGCAGCCAGCCTCTTGAGCTCTTAGCCACATTCTCCGCCTTAAAACCCTCATAGATGTCGGCAGTGGTTTGGGCTTATAAAACTGGAGACTGAGGTCAATCCTGGGTAGCAACAGGCAGGTGGTTGCCCAGGTCCCTTTGCCCCAGCTGAGCTAGAGACTGGTGGCTGGAGATCTTAATCGGATCCTGCTTCTCACACTAGGTCACCACGTGTTCCTGGACAACTTCCCCTGCTGGTCCTCTGGCAAAAAGGGCGTTGGGAAAGATGAGAGGCTTCCAGCCACATCTCACCAAGAGCCCCTGGAATCGCCCCCACCCCCACACATGGCCTGCTTAGATTTGGTCCATGTCTTCCCACATTCCTTCTTTCAAAGAAGTCCAGCCCAGGCCAGGAGGGCAGGCTGCCCCCAGCCCCAGGAGAGCAACTCGCCCCACTTCCCCATGGGAGGGAGTGGCCGCCGAGCACCCCCCCACACTTCCTGGGTCCTACCTCGCCTCTCCCTTGGGTGACTTGGAGCCCAGCAGACTGCTGATGGCAGGGGCAGAGCTGAACGAGGCGAGCTGGTTCTATTGCTAGTTAATCCCAAAGTGAGCAGCAAGAACAAACAGCTTGAGCTGTGGGGCCCCGTGACTTGGCAGACAGGATACTAGTCCCCTGCCACCAATCCATGGCACTCAGTCTGTCCTGACCCTCACAGCCTGCTGGAATTTGACCGTAAGCAAACATTACCTGCCACAGGGAAGGCTGGGAGGTGTTTGCAGGCTGTGGTTTTGATTGTTTCTCCTGGGAGCTAGTCCCTAGCCAGCTGGTCCTCTCTGGAGCATGTAGGACCAACACTGAGCCAAGGTGACATGAGCAGAGTCCCCCTCCTGCCCCGCTGATGGAAGAAGCCAGAGGTGGGCATTGATGATTCGCCATGAGGAGTGCCTCGGTGGGGCTATTGGGCGCTGAGGGACATGGAGGGGGAGCTCGCAGCCCAGGCTGAGGGTTGGAGCTGGAACTTGAAGGACCAGTGAGGGCAGCCATCTGATGCGGCTGTTGCAGTGGTTCACGTGGAAGGTGCCAGTTACGTAGGGAGCCACTGCAGAGTGCTTGGGAGATCAGTTGTGAGCAGTGGGCAAACATGGGCGGGGTACCAACATAGGGAACCCTAGTTTGGGAACCACCCACTTTTAGTGTTTGGGGTCCCAGTGGGGCCTGGAGATGATCAGTAGACACCCATCTATATGGGCTTGATGCTCTGCGAAGTCTGGGCTGGAACAAACACTTGGAGGTTTCCGAATGCAGGTCCCCACCTGAACCTGTGGGTGGAGGTTGTGTTACCCAAGGAGATTGGAGGTGAAGCAAAGAACAGGAGGAACACAAATATTCAAGGCGCCGGGCATCCCTGAGCTCCCATGGAGCCTGCAGTCTCTGAGATGCCCACCCCCACCCAGAGTCCCGGGAGCCGTGTGTCCCACCGTGTGTGTGTGTGTGTGTGTGTGTGTGTGTGTGTGTGTGTCCTTCCTAACTGCCTGGGGAACCGGTCAGTGGCTTCCATTTTACAATGGTTCATAGAAGTGAACTTATCCAATGATTACATTGCTTCTAAAAGGTAATTTTGCATTGAATATTCAGGTCCTTATCCCCGGAGTTGGTTTTTCTGCCTGGGACAAGCTCAGATCGGGCAGCCTGGGATATTCTCTCCTCTCTGATTGGCAACACTGGGTGGCGTGTCCCCCACTCTAAATACAGGGTGGGCAGATGTAAGGCACCCTGCTCCAGGCTGCTTCTGGAGGTGCTCGAGCGGTTCTTGCCCCTTCCTCTTCCACCCGGAGTGGAGAATTTCTTTGTCAAGATGTTGTGGTGGCTCCGGCACCTGGACTGGAGCTTGAGGAGCAGGGACCCTGTGATTCTTTCTGGTGAGTCTTCTGTCACACTGGGGACTGGCCATATCACTGTTCCAAGTTGCTGGATGTTCACATCCTGGCTTTTATTTTGGAAAACGTCACACATACAAAGCCAACAGAATATCATGGTGAAGGCCCACTGCTCATCGCCCGGCCCCCACAACACCCTGCCATCTTGTTTTACCAGCTCCCCACCCTCTGCTCCATTATTGGTTTTTTCAGTCTTTTTTTATTAGGCAAAATTGGAACACTTTGAAATGCACAAATCTGAACTGTACAATTGGTTACACACCTTTATCACAATACAGGGCGTTTCCACCTCCCCAGGAAGTTTGTGGATGGCCTTCCCAGTCAATCCGCCCCTGCTCCAGGCAGCCACTCATAGTTTCTTTCACAACAGATCAGTTGTGCCTGTGCTAGAGCTTCGTTTAAATGAACTCAGAGGGCTGGCCCCATGGCTTAGCGGTTAAGTGCGCATGCTCCACTGCTGGGCGGCCCGGGGTTCAGATCCTCGGCGCGCACCGACGCACCGCTTTTCCAGCCATGCTGAGGCCGCGTCCCACATACAGCAACTAGAACGATGTGCAACTATGACATACAACTATCTACTGGGGCTTTGGGGGAAAATAAATAAATAAATAAAATTATAAATGAACTCAGAGTATTTAGTCTTGTGTCTGGGTTTTTGGCTCAGCATAGTGTTTGTGAGATTGGCCTGTGTTGGGTGGGTTGCCAGCTGAGTCCTTGATGTCACTGAATAGTATCCTGTTGTGTGAATAGACAGCTTGTCCATCCAGCTGTTGATGGTTCCAGTGTTTGGGTCGATGCCAGCCTGGGGCTGTTGTGAGCTAAGGGCCAGGAGTAGTCACACCCCACAGCCTCTCCAGCACTTGAGGTCAGTCTGTCAGATTCCAGCCATTCCAGTGGGTGTGAAGTGATACCTCATTGTGGTTTAATTTGTATTTTCCTGGCCATTGATGATCTTGAACATTTTCTCATGTGTCTTTTAGCCACTCATTTCCTTGTGAAGTATCTGGTCAAGTCCCTTACCCATTTCTAATTGGGTTGTTTTCTTATTTTGTTGTAGGAATGGCTTATGTATTCTGGATACAGAGAAATTTGGTGAATATTTTCTCCTAGTCTGTGGCTTGTCTATTCATTTTCTTAATAGTGTCTTATAATGAACAGGAGTTTTTAATTTTGATGAAGCCTTAATCAGTTTTTCTGGTTATTGCGTTCTGTGCCCTGCCTAAGAAATCTTTGCCTATTCCTATCTATTGATTTTTTTAATCTAGCAACCTTGCTAAACTCTCATTAATTGTAATAATTTGTCCGTTGCTTGGTTTGAGGTGGTTTTGTTTTTTCTTTTTTTTTTTTTTT